GTGGAAATAGAAGGCAAAGGGAAACAATGTGGACGGTTGGTCTGGATGTTTGAAAATAATGATGCTAGAAAGAAAATGGGGGGGGGGGACCTGAGGGAAAAGCATCCCAGGTGCGGGGAACAGCACATGCAGCGGCTCTGAGGCACGAGAACTTGGTGGGTTTGGGAAACAGCGAGGAGGCCACCGGGGCTGGACCCCAGTGAGTGAGGGGCCTGGAGGGAGGGAGACGAGGTCAGGGGCGGGGGCCCAGGGCCTGCGGACCACCGGGCGATGTTTGGGTTTTATTAAAGGGCCGTAGGGAGCCGTTGAAGGCGTTTCAGCTGGGAGGAGGGGCAGGACTTTTACTTGTTTTCAGATCCATCCAGCTGCCGGGTGGAGGACGGATTGGTTGAGGGGCAGCAGGGGGAGGCGGTGGCCTGGGTGAGGAGGGCACCATGCTGTGCAGGACTCCCCCCAAGATGGACGTGACCTATACCGGCCACTGGCCCCGTGTGGTAATCAATCACCTGCAGTGTCGCTAGTGTAACGGAGAACCTCAATTTTTAATGTTAATTTAAACAGCGACGTGGGGCTAGAGGCTGCCCTATAGGACGGCAGAGGTCTAGAAAGACACGGACAAGGTTAGGGGTGGGGACAGTTTGGGGCCCGAAAGGGGCAGGAATAGCATGCTGGGCCAGTTCTCCTCGGAGGATTTCCCAGCTTTGTGGCGATGAGGCCAGAAGGGGCTGAGTGGGCTGAGCCCTGCCTGCCTCCCGCCCCCTCTCCAGTGTTGGGGGGATTTCGGCTGAATGACAGGCAGCTTGGACAGTGCTCCTGCCCAGCCGTCGTCATAACTGGCAGCCACTCACTCACTGCCCGCTGTCAGGAGGGCCAGTGGGGAGAGAGGGTGGCCGTGTCCTGTCATCGGGGATGGGGAGCAGAAGCAGGGCTTGGCCTGTCTGTGCTCCGCGGAGAGGCCACTTGTCCCGAGAGGCCTTTGGCAGGGAGCCCGGGGCACCTGCAGGCTGGAGGGAGGGGCCGGGAGTGGATTCCAGGGCCTCCTAGGACGTCCCTGCTCCATGGAAGGAAGTCACCTTGCCTTTCTGCAGCGGTGCCCGGGGGGTTGCCAATGAGCCCGAAAGGCTCTCATCTCTCACTGTGGGAGTTTTTTTAAAAGAACCAGGCACGGCAACCAAGTGCAGGACTTAAACGCAGCGTCCAGCTTCTGGACTGCGGAGAAAGTGCTGGAAGGCAGGTCTGCACTGGGCCAGTGGGGTGGGTCAGAGCCCTGCCTCGGCGTCCCTTTCCTGAGTGTGGCCGAGTCTGGCAGGCCTGCTGTGGCCCGTGAGAGGCCGTCCCGCTCCTAGAATGTCCTTAGGAAACCCGCAGGGAACTATTCCCGGTGAAGCAGCCCAGCGTGTGCACCTGCCTCTCGGGCGCTTCAAGGTGTTTCACGCAGATAACACAAGTGGGGAGAGGTAAACCCTCTGCGAATCCGAGTCAGGGCGTTTTTGGCATTGTTTCTCTCAATTTTCCTGGAAGTTTCAAATATAAATTTTAAAAAGCCAAACAAAAAAACCCCACTGCTGCTCCAGGCCAGCCTTGGGGTGGGTCTGATGTACCCCGGGGGTGGG